CATTATCTAATCCATCTGCCTCATTTTACAGGTGAGGAAACTGAGGTCCAAAGATACCTGCCTACCCATGTCACCCTTCTCAGGATGTCATAGGTCAAAAGGAGCACAGCCTGGTCACAAACTCAGGTCTCCTGACTCTGAGGTTCAGTTCACCAGGTCAGATGACACAGGTGCCTCTGTGTCAGCTCTTTTGTTGTAGAAAGAAGCAGGGATAAGACTTTTGGACCCAGAGCAGCAGGAAGATTAACAGAGCAAACAGATGGTTTGGCTGATAATGTTAGAGGCAGGAAAAAAAAAGATAACCTGGGTGAGGTAACATAAAATAGGGTGTTGTTTTGCCCATATAGGTAGGTTATATGTGTCCACATGGGTCTGGATTTGTCTAGATATGGTTCACAAGGAGGCAGGAATAGATTTCTCTAGACTCTAGACTCTAAAGTCTTCTCCCCTGTGCTCTTTTTTAAAATATTTTATTTTATTTTTAATTTATGGAAAAAAACAAGCATCTCCATAAGATAGTTCAATAAAAAAGATGATTATACATGAAACTGTAGGTCTGCTATGCACAATTTGCTATTCCTTTCAAATATACAACAAATTACCATGTAAATTCATTTTTTTTCTCTTTTTTCTTCTACCCTACCCACCCTGCCCCAGAGATGGCTACCACTAGACACAAATAGATATATGTGTAAAATTATTCTATATATACTTCTATTTATCAGTCCTTTCTCTGGATACAGATAGTATCTTTCTTCATATATCCTTTATGGTTAATTTGGGCATTTATAATAGTCCATTCAAAGTCCTTCGTAAGATAATATTGTTGTTACCATAATATAGTATTCTCCTGGTTGTGCTTATTTTGCTCTTCATTATTTCATGTAAGTCTTTCCATGTTTTCTAAGATCACTGAGCTCATTATTTCTTATATAACACAGTAGTATTCCATCACAATCATATGCTACAACTTGTTTAGCCATTCCCCAATTGATGGGCACTCCTGCAGTTTTGCCACCACAAAAAGAGCTACTATAAATATTTAGAACATATAGGTTCCTTTCCTTTTTCCCTAATCACCTTTGGAAATAGATCTAGCAATGGTTTTGTTGGGTCAAAGGTATAGGTAGTTTAATAAGTCTTTGGGAATAATTCCAGATTGCTCTCCAAAATGGCTGGATCAGTTCACAATTCCACCAACAATGAATTAGTGTCCCAATTTTTCCACATCTCCTCCAGCATTTGTTGCTTTCCCCTCCAATCATTTTAGCCAATGTTATCTCAAGCTGTAAAATGTTATCTCAAGATTGTTTTAATTTGCATTTCTCTAATCAATAATAATTTAGAGCATTTTATATGACTATAAATTGTTTTAATTTCTTCATTGGAAAACTGCCTGTTCACATCCTTTGACCCATTTATCAATTGGGGAATGACTCATATTCTTATAGATTTGACAAAGTTCTTTATATATTTTTGACATGAGACCTTTATCTGATAAACTGTCTATGACATTTCCCCCCGATTTTCTGCTTTCCTTCCAATCTCAGCTACATTTGTTTTATTTGTAAAAAATTTTTTAATTTAATGTAATCAAAATTATCCACTTTATACCTAACTTTGCTTTCTATCGTTTATTTATATGTAAATTGTTCATCTGTTCTTAAGTCTGATAAATAATATGTTCCACGTTCTTCTAATTTTCTTGTAATATCTCTCTTTATATTTAGGTCATGTATCCATTCTGAACTTACCTTGGTAAATGGGATAAGATATTGGTCTACACCCAGTTTCTGTCATACTGCTTTCCAATTTTCCCAGCAATTTCTACCAAATAATGAATTCTTATCCCCAAATCTTAAATCTTTATACTTGTGAAATACATGGTTATTATGTTTTATTTGCTGCTGTAAATTGTATGTCTACTCTATTCCATTGATCTACCTTTCTATTTCTTAGGACCAGATAGTTTTGATAATGACTGCTTTATAACATAGTTTATAATCTGGTACTGCTCAACTCCTACCTTTATTTTTTTTTCATTTTTCCTTTGATATTCTTTTCTTTTTGTTCTTCCATATTAATTTTGTTATTTTTTCTAATTCAGTAAAATCAATTTTTGGTCATTTAATTGGTATGGAATTAAATATATAAATTAGGTAAAATTTTCATTTTTATTATATTGACCTTGCCTACCTATGGACAATTAATATTTCTCCAATTATTTAATCTCTCTCACTCCCTTTTATTTTAATATAAATTTATTTATTTATTTTTAGTTTTCAATATTCACTTCCACAAGTTTTTGAGTTCCAAATTTCTCACCCCTCCCCCCACCCCAAGATGGCATGCATTCTGAATACCCCTTCCCCTGGTCTGCCTTCTCTTCAATCTCTCCCCCCCCTTCTCTTATCCCCTTCCCCTTCTATTTTCCTGTAGAGCAGGATAGACTTCTGTACCCCATTTCCTGTATTTCTCATTTCCCAGTTGCATGTGAAAACTTTTTTTAAAAAACATGTGTTTTTAAAACTTTGAGTTCCAAATTTTCTCCCTTCGTCCCTCCCCACCCACCCTCATTGAAAAGGCAAGTGACTCAATATAGGTTGTACATGTGCAGTTATGCAAAACACTTCCTTAGTAGACATGTTGTGAAAAACTAACTCTATTTCCCTTAATTCTATCCTGCCCTCCCATTTATTCTATTCTTTCTTTTGACCCTGTCCCTCCTCAAAAGTATTTGCTGCTGATTACCCTCTTTCCCATTCTGCCCTCCTCTCTATCACCCCCCTGCTCTCTTGTCCCCTTCTCCCTCTATTTTCCTGTAGGGTAAGACAGATTTCCATACCCAATTGAATGTGTATGTTGTTCTCTCCTTAAGTCAAATCCAATGAGAATAAGATTCCCTCATTCCCTCTCACCTTCCCCTGTTGCCCCTCCACTGTCTCTCACTCCCTTTTAAGGCAGCTTGTGGTTCCTCTCAGGAGGGGAACCAGGAGGTTTAGCCCCCCACTCTCCTCGGAGAGAGGAAAACTGGGCTAGAATGATATCTATCTGCTCCTATAAGAATTGTTAGTCTAGGGGAAGTAATTTTCATATTTAAACTGGACTCCTTATCACTATCCCTTAATGGGAAAGGAAACCTCACCCCTTTTGTCCATGGATTAAATCCTTTCCCACCAGATGTCAGTTCCACAATGAACACACATAGCAAATAGCAAGTAAACCCATTTACTCAGTAGCAAGTCAATAGCAAAACAGAAATCAGAGAAAGTATACATAGGAGGAGATATACTAGATGATACAGAGGGGAATTATCTTTCCCATTGGGAGTGAGGTGAGATGAGAGAGAGAGAGAGAGAGACAGAGACAGAGAGACCCAGAGAGACAGAGACTCAGCTCTCAATGCAAAATTCCCCAAATTCTTTAGTGTAGTGTGCTAGAGATAGGGATGTGATAAAGACAGCTAGCTCCTCTATGTATCGGCTTCTTGCTAGAATCTTTCTCCTGAAGAGAGTCTGGAACCAAATGTCTTCTCTCTGGAAGCTGGAAGCCAGAAAACTAGGATCTCTTTTCCCTCAAGATCTCACCAACTCCCTCTCTTCTTGCAGGCAAGGAATATTGAAGAACCAATCACCAGTGATAAGGAGATTGGTCTTGAGAAGATTTGAGGCTACTGACATTCTTTTTGCTGTTGTGACTTTGCTGCTGGCAATGTTTAACTCTCCAGGCCTTTTAATTAAAGCGACATTTACCCGCTTATTGACAATGCAACAGCTCCCACTCACTGATCCACAAACATCTTTTAAAAAAAAAACACATGCAAAACAAATATAGATGTTATTTTTTAGGATGTAGAAATTGGAAAAGCTTTGAAACAGAGAGTCTGTGTCTTGAGCTTATATCTTCAAATATGAGCTGCTGAATCATTCAAGTCTGCTGCTTAATGGAATGAGGGAGCCCTGAATTTGAATTGCTAAAACATTCAGGTCCATTGGTTAATGGAGAGAGAGAGAGAGAGAGAGAGAGAGAGAGAGAGAGAGAGAGAGAGAGAGAGAGAGAGAGAGAGAGAGAGTCTAGGGTATTAGCTGGCAGCACAGGATCATAAAATGGACTGGGTGCTAAGTTTAGAGTTATCAGAACTGGGTTTGAACATAAACTTTAACACACGCTTGTCATATTGAATCATTCATTTAGAGATGGAAGAGACCTTCAGGGTCTTGTAGTCCAATCTCCACACTGAGCAGATGAGGAAACCAAGGCAAGGAGAAATGACTTGCTCAAGGTCACAAGGGTCATAAGTGGCAGAGTTCAAATTCAAACTCAGATACTTCAAATCCAGCATTCTTTCCGTGGCACAATACTAAAGGAAGCAGAGAAGTATGAAAAGATATGAATGAATTGATACATAATAAAATAAGGAAAAAAAGAAAAAATACATAATAAATACATAATATATATAAAATAACTACACTAGTGTTATCTTCATCATTATCATTGCTGTTATCATCATAGATAGAAAATATAGGGAGCTTTAAGGTTTGCAAAGCACTTTACAAATATTATCTCATTTGAGATACAACCACCTTGGGAGAGAGGTACTATTCTTATTCCCATATTACAGATGAGAAAACTGAGTTAAAGTTTAAGTGATTTGCCCAACACATCCTCATTCCAAATCTCGCATTCTTTTTACCATGTCACCTAGCTGATGATGATAATGAAGAAGAAGATGATAATAATAGCTAGCATTCATTCAACTCTTTAGATTTGTGAAGTTCTTTACATATGTTATCTCATTTAATCTTCACAGACCCTCTATGGAGATGATGCTACTATTCCTATTTGACATTTGAGCAAACTGAGGCGGAGAAGAGTTAAGTGGCTAACCTAAGGTTATACAGTTAGTAAGTGTCTGAGGCAGGATTTGTTGGACCATGAGAAATCGTAAAAGCCAAAATTGATCCTAGAGAACAGATAATGACAAATACCTCCATCTCCCTGGCAGAGAGACAGGATACAAGAGGGCAGGATGTTAGACACATACGCTGTTAGATGCAGCCATTGTATTGGGTATTTCAGAAAACAAATCCGCTTCTGCAGCTGGCGGGGCAACAATAGTCCTCCATTTTGGTGAGTCCTACCTTCCCGCGGAACCTCTTCAGTCCCTGTAGCTTAACAAAGAAATAAGTCACATGATTCCTTGCTGCATTGATTTCTCGTGCACTAAACTCTCAAGTTCATGCCTTCCCATCATGGGACTCTTGCTGTGACAGTTAAAACAACAACAAAAACAACAAAAAACAACCCTCTCTTCTGAAGGGCCGCGGCTCCCTTGCACAGACTTTCTCTGCTGTAGGCCACTCCATACCCCCTGTCTAATATAGCCCTTATCTAGAAACTTCTGCTTGGTTCCATGGTTATATAAGCAGAAAATCTTTTACTAACCAGTCCCTGGCAACTCCCGGCCCACCGCGTCAAAGCCATCTAAGTGACGCAAATAGATAGAATGCAGTGGACCTGGATCAAGAAACTCTGAGTTCAAATCCAGTCTCAGACACTTATGACAGATATAAAGGCAGCTAAGTGGCACAGTGGAGGAAATGGGAGACCTGGAGTGAGGAGGACCTAAGCTCAAATTCTGTCTCAGGTACTTACTAGCTCTAGGCAGGTTACTTAATCTCTGTTCACCTCAGTTTCCTTAATTGAAGATCGTTGTGAGGATCAAATGAGATAATCTTCGTAGAGCACTTAGGACAGTGCCTGGCAGTAGTAGGCACTATATAAATGCTAGCTATTATTATTATCATCATTATCGTCATCATCATCATCATCATCATCATCATTACTACTTACAATGGGAGACCAGTCAAGTGAACCTGAAATAACCACCTTCCCTTTGCCCCCATAAAACCTATGGCCCATGGCCTCCTCTTTGATCTGCCCCAGTGTGGCAAGAACAAAGAATCCATGAGTGTCAAGAGCTTGGTGGAACCTGGGTTGCCAAATCCAGGGACAATATCTTGAAGGGACATCTTTGATTCCCGCTTTTTCCTGCTGTGGCCTGAAGACCATCAGGCCTGGGGCATTCTCACTGGTTGTATCTTTGACTGTTCCTGTTTGAACACCTTTATTTCCAGCTTAAACCTTCTCTCGTGTGAGTTAAAGTACACTACAAGAAAGGCCTAGGGCCATAAATTTTATTAGATCTAACTAATTCTTGCAAAGACCTCCTTCAAGTGCCCAAACCACTGCCCCTGACTGGCACAGTAGACATTTTAGCATCTCTGTCTGGCACTAGCTCCTCAAGGCATGAGGTTCTCTGTAGGCACTAGGAGGAAGCCTTTTTAGGTTTGTGTGTGAGAGACAGTCTGATGACACCAAGACAGATTGAAGAAAGTCCGTTTCTTCTCACAGTCCCTGGGTTCCTTCTTATCCAGAAATATGTCCCTTCTTGTCCATGCTCCAATTTTGCCTGGTAGAGATAAGCAGGTTAAGTCTAAGCTTGACACATGACAGCATCCAAAAATAGTTGAATACATCTATCATGAACCCCCCTGGGTTTTCTCTTATCCAGGCTAACACCCCAATTCCTTCAACTCATCATCATCTGCCATGATCTAGAGGCCTTCTTAATCATCCTTTGGTGGATATTCTCCAACTTGTCAACATTCTTTCAAAATTCTTAATAGCAGTGTGGAGCAAAGAATATGGCAGCTGCTCCTCCCTCCATGTTATAAAAGTCTGAATTCTGAGGTTCTAAGTAGGGGACCACCACAGACACTAACACCCTCATATATAAGAGTATCTGTTGTTATCATTCAGTCCTTTCAATCATGTCCAACTCTTCATGACCCCATGTTTTCTTGGCAAAGATACTGGAGTGGTTTGTCATTTTTCCTTTTCCAGCTCATTTTACAGATGAGGAAACTGAGGCAAACAGGGTTAAGTGACTTGCTCAGGGTCACACAGCTAGTAAGTGTCTGGGGCTGATTTGAACTTAGAAAGATGAGTCTTCCTGACTCCATGCCTGGCACTCTATCCACAACCCCATATAAGAATATGTTTTTATAAAAATATGTGATAGATAGATGGGTAGATAGATAGATAAATAGATAGATATCCATTGAGTCCTTGAGTGATGTCAGGAAAAAAGAAAAACAGATTTTGATCCTCAATTCTTCCATCTTTTTTTTCCAGGGTACATAAAAGTTGTCACAATTAAATGACATGTAGATTTGTCCTTGGGCTGATGTGACAAATCAATAAAATATTTCCCAAAATATCTGCATGTCAATCATAATATTTCAGTCCTAATACAGTCTCTTCACCACCACCTCATATACCTCCCACCCCACCCAAGGCAATTTGGCAGCATTGTGTATGTGAAGTGGTGCAAAATTACCTTACTATCCATAAATAACCATGTGTCCTAATCTGGGGGAGAGTTTTAGTTATTAAGGTACTAGTTCATTTGGCTTTTCACTTGGGTTGAAAAATGCAAGGGCTCCTCAGTGGAGATGTGTGACATGCTTATTCCAAAATAAAATGTAATCTGTCTAAAGTCCTAGACAATAACTATTTTGGAAATATTTAATTTTAGCAGCAAAAACTTGCAAGAGATAATCACATGGGAAAATTCTTCCTCCTCAAATTTCTTCAAGCATTTTGTCTGGATCTCTCATTTACCCATGTCACATCCTGCCTTGTGTCTTACTTTGTGGGCTGATCATAGTCCCCTTGTTAGATTGTAAACCCAGTGAAGGCAGGATCTGTCTCATTTTTCATGTCACACGGCCTGGCATATATTAGGCACTTAATGTTTGTTGCATTAAAGTGAATGCCTATGAAGAAGCCCAATACAGAATAATTTTCTAGAGAGTAATGTGGACTGACAGTGGCTGGCAACAGATGTCATTTCCTGGAAAACTGCATAATGAACACAATGGAGACAGAGAATGTTTTTGGCCCAATGTCACTGACCGTTCTCATTCTTCCCTTCCCTTTTTGTGTTTCATTTAAGTTCATTTAAAAGGGCTTTAATCAGAATGGTGGAAATAATTCAAAGGGGTTAATATTATATGCCCAGCATATTGCATTCCATCCCCTGCACCAACCTCCCAAGGACAGGCCAAAACACTCAGAAGTCCAATGCTCCTTGTCAGAGCATGGTTTCCATCCATTGGCCCTCCTGTGTTATAGAACACTTCAAGTGCCCGGTTCTGCTAATTAGCAAAAGTGAGCAAATAGGGTAGATCTAGGCATTGTCTTTGCTTCCAGATACTTTTATTCCCCAATCTGCTACTATTCTCCTTATCTTGCTAGGTACATGAATTTAATGGTGTTCTGTCCCTTTAATTCTTGACTAGCCTGAGAGGGTTCTCCACTATGGGACCTAAGTGGCCTGGATATCATAATTCTGTCAGGAAGATGGAGGTGCTCTGACCATTGCGAACCCAAGCATCATTTTTCCAATTCCTTCCATCACATTCAAACTTAGGTTTTTAAAAAAATCTGTCTCCCCAAATTTCTCTATTACTCACAAGGCCACACACTCATTCGGAGGTTTTGTTTGTCTCTGATGGATATTTAAGGAGGCAGAAGTGACACATATAGAATCCTTCAGTTCAAAGGGACCCTGTCAGCAGTCTTCCAGCCCAGGACATTGAGAGCAAGACCCACATAACTCAAGGTGAGCATGTCTGCACTCTAAGCTTGCTCCCCCAGAACACATGGGTAAACATTCCCATTTCCATAACTGTTATCAGAGTATTTTGTCTAAATAGCCAAAATGCTGCCAAGACTTAAGCCAGCCATCAGATTTCTGCCTCAGTAGACTATAAGCTTGAAGCTGCTTGGTTCACATGACAAAAAGTCATTCTTTCCTTTGGAACTGGGAAAGAAATCACAGTGCCTTGGGATACCTGGATATTCTTTTACCTGCCTTGTAAGCGTGTTCTTTGTCTTCTTGAAAGGCTAGATGTCTGACTCAAGAAAAAGATATCTGCATTAACACCCTACTCCCATATAATTATGTATCTCTTGTATTGTATGTTGGTATTATCATTATATAATAAATGATACAAGTGGAAAGGCCCTTTCAGTTTAAAGCCCTCCTCTCTCTCTCTCTCTCTCTCATCCCAGGTTTGTCCTAAAGCTTCAAAAGTCATCCTAGGGATACAGAAAAGGACCTGTTTAAACAACACTCCCCAATCCTGGACTCTAGAAAAGGCTATATTCTACATCCCTCCACCCATATTGACTTTTCTCTTCTGAGGTAAGTATCTCTAAGATAGAAGCTAAGTCTTTCTAATTTCATTTGGGATATTTGTTTGTTTTAACCCAGTCTAGATTTCCTGCTACTCAACTTCATTCTAATCTTGGGATAATTTGCACGGCTACACTAAATGCTGCAAATAACCACCCTGGCAAGAAAGCAGCATTCTCAGGAAAAAAAATTAAGAACTCACATTCCTGCTGTCTTCACTGTCTGACAAATTTCCAAAACATAATAAATAAACGCCATTCTGCAATAACAGCACACTCCCTTCCCCCATGAAGAGCTGAATGACTTGCAGCAAGCTTTTTCATCTAACTTTTCCACAACTGGAAAATATCTTAAGGTGATATGAAAGATTTCAAAGACCTGTCGAATATGTGAATCTCATTTTCTCTCTAACAGAACCTAAGGATGATTTATTTTTCTCTAGTCTCTTTCAGAAGGAGCCCTGCCAGAGCCATTCTTAGATAAGGATCAAGGTATCATGGCTTTTCTCTCCTTGGCTACCAGAAACCACTTTTATCCAGGTGAAATCAGGATAAATTGAGGATTTGTAGAAGGTTTGAAAAGGAAGGGGACAAGAAAAGGACAATGCAGCTTCAAGGAGTGAATGGAGAAGAAGGGATCTTATGTTGGCCATGGGGGTTTTGAAGGATCAGACATAGATCCAGAAGGGACTTTAGAATCCATCTAGTCCAATACTCTTATTTGACAAATGAAGACACTAAGGACCCAAAATGATGGAGAGATTTGCCCAAGGTCACTCACATAAGTAGTAAGTAGCAGAATAAGGATTTGAACTCAAGTCCTCTGACCCCAAGGTGTAGTGGATAGAGTACTGGTCTTGGAATCAGAAAGATGCCTCTTCAAGGGTTCAAATCTAGCCTCAGATACTTATTAGCTGTGTGACCCTGGGCAAGTCACTTAACCCTGTTTGCCTTAGTTCTTCTTCTGCAAATGAGCTGGAGAAGGAAATGGCAAACTGTGCTTCAGTATCTTTGCCAAGAAAACTCTAAATAAAGTCACGAAGAGTCAGATATAACTGGAACCACTGAACAGCAACCTCTGACTCCAAATCCACAGCTCTCTCCATAGCAACACTCAGTGATTTGTATCTGGGACCTGGGCCACATCTGAGGAGCTGCTTTAATGAACCCCACACCCATTCTTCCCCAGTCTGCCTATGGTCCAAAGCCTGAGTCCCCCAAGTCAAAGGTCCCCTTTGCTACATATAGCCTGGTACTTAATTGGTAGAGTCAGACCAGAAGGCACTATATGTCTTTGCCAAATATTTCTCCTCAGAGGGACAGCTTCTGGTAAGTTATTGCACCCTGTGAGCTCTCTGTCTATAGCAGCTCACTGCCATGACATTGGCCAGCCTCCCAGTAATCCACAGAGAGAAAGAGACAGTATATAAGAAGCTTTAAAAAAGAAATGCCAGGGAAGGGCTGGGGGAAGCAGCTGGGGGCTGGGCAATCCCTATGTTCTATTCTGGGTCTCTTCATAATTCCTGGTCCCACTCATTCCCTGTTCGAGGTCAGATTGCCTTGTCCCCAAAGGTGGAAAAAGAGCACTACTGCCAGGCAAGCTTTTCCAGAGAATAATTCAGTCTCACAGAAATTAAACATCTTATCTTCAAAAGATTACACATTTCTAACTGGAAGAGATTTTAGAGGTTATCTATCCTAACCCCTGGTTTTAGAGGTGAAGAGACTGAGGTTCAGAGACCAAGCCTAAAGTCCTACAGATGGTTTAAGGTTTGCATAGCACTTTACATACATTATTTCATTTGATCCTCACTATAACCCTGTGTTCACTATTATCACTATTTTACAGATGAAGAAACTGAGACTGAGAGAGGTTGTGACTTGCCTACAGCCACACACCCTGTTAGTAGCTGAGGTGAGATTTGAACTCAAGCCTTCCTAGTTCTAAGTCCATCACTCTCTCCACTATACATCCTAACTGCTAACATGGGAGGTTTGTTGTTACAGTTCATCCTTCCTTCTGGAAGAAGACCAATGACACCAGAAGGGTGATGTCTTGACTTGTGAGTGAATTGGATTTAGACGAGGCAGGGCTGTGCTAGTTTCAGCCTCACTCTCTTCCAGAGTCTAGTAGCAAGACATAGGTCAAGACAGCAGATGCAGTGGGAGACCATGGACCTTTAAAACCAAGGTCTTTCCCAGGTCTCAGCTTGTCTGAGGCAATGCTTATTCAATAATTAAAGGCTAGTTTGTCTCCAAAAAGAGTCAATCTGGGAGGAGAAGACCCTCAGAGTTTCTGGCCAGGACAGAAACAATTGCTATTTATACTCACTCTGAGCCCTCAGAACCCAAGCAATGAGGGAGTGAGGCTTGGGCTGGGACCTATTATTGGGCAATCAGTGACAGCCAGAGTGATTTGGGTTTAAAGGCATAGTCAAGTAACTCCATTTGAAACACAATGGATTTTATCAAAGCCTGGTTTTTCAGAGCTATATTTCAAGAGATCATAAATAAAAACTACATGAGACATGAGTTAATCATCCCACTTAAAAAAAATAGAAATAAAATAGATATGAAAATGGAAGGTGTACAAAAGAATAGTGGGTTGACTGCTCAAAAGGGGAGAATCACAGGTCAGAAGTCCTTTCCAAGGGCAAAGCCCACTGTAGGCTAAATGGGGAAGGTCTCAGATTGTTCACCTACCTCTGTGTTCATCCATCCTTGGAATCTTCCCTCAGCCAGTTCCCACTTTCAAAAGCTTCCTGACTCAGTTTCTCTTACAGTAGTTCTCAGAGACTCTCAATCTCCTACAGAAATGAAATACATTATTGACTACAATATAATAACAACTGCCAAACACATAGCACTTTACAGTTTTCAAATTTTTTTTTTCCAAAATACTGATCCAAACGATGCAAGTATTTATTTCCCTCTTTTTACAGTTGAGGAAATTGAGCCCATAAGTTGAAACTTGCCCAAGGTCACATGGTTATGCCAGGAAGATAGATCAATAAAGACACACTGATATTTCTCCAGTTTCTCCGGTTTCCAGAAACCCATCTGCTCAAAATTCCCTTTTTTCCTTATTCTGTCTTCTAACCCCTGAAAAGCATCCCATCTGGTAGAGCATTAGAATATATGATGTCACTTTGCCCATAAAATTCTGAGGCAATTTTCTCTAGGCTCTCTAGTCTTCCCCAGGGGGAAATTCTAAACATTTTCAGCCTCTAACTATATCCTTCTATAGTACCCCAGGGACTAAAGAAACCTCATTCACTTCTCTAGGTTCCCTGTGTACTGTAAACATATTTTAACCATGTGGGATAGTGGAAACAGCATAGACTTGGAAGATGAGTCCTTGGATTTGAGTTCTGGATCTCCTATTTAATATGTGGGTGATCTTGGGGGCTGAATTAGAGAAATTCTAAGGTCTCTTCCTTCTATACAGTCTTTAAATACCTGTTTTGTTCCTGTCTTCTTTTTTTCATCTCTTTTCCATTTCATGCTTACTCATTTTCCTGCTTTCTCATTCTTGCTCTCAGTACCCAAAGTCTGTAACTCATTTATTTGTTGAGTGAATGAATCTGTTTCACTCTCCTAGAGTCATCTGGACTTTCTGGGTTTTCAGTCGTCATAAAAGGCAGTGGAAAGACCACCAGATATGGAGAAAGGAGCCTTTGGGTGGAGTCCTGGCTCTGTCACTTCTTAGCTGTGTGACCTGAACCATTTCAGTTTATCAGTAAAATGATCCTTTTCAGTAATTTGATGCCTACTCCCATAGGATTGTAGTGAAATAGTGTATGCAAAGCATTTTATCAGTATAAATAAAGCACTCTGCAAATGTAAGCTATGATTTGGTTTCTTCTTCCTGTTTCCTGACAGTCTCTTGTCAGTGATGTGGGATGAAACCCTGAGCCCCAGGGACTATCACAAGGTTGTTGTCAGGATCAAAAGAACCATTCCATGGGCAAGTGCTTTGTAACTGGTTATTGTTGATGATGATGATGATGATGATGATGATGATGATGAGTCATGGTTTTCTTGGCAGAGATACTGGAGTGGTTTGCTATTTCCTTCTCCAGCTCATTTTACAGATGAGGAGACTGAGGAAAACAGGGTTAAACAACTTTCCCAGAGTCACACGTTTAGTAAAGGTACTCTTACTGTTTTCATCATTTTCTTCAAGAAATAAAGGTTCTTGGACTCATCTGCCACAGAGAAACATCTCATATCCCATTCCCCAGATATCTTATACTTAAAATTTACATAAAGATGCAGTCTTAAAGTCCAGGATTGGGAATCAGGAAACTGGGTTCAAGCAAAACAATGTGGTATAGTGGAAAGAATGCTAGATTTGTAGTCAAAGGATTCTGTTCTAAAAGTAACTTCTTGTATGACCTTGGGCGAGTCACTACCTTCTATATCTCAGCATCTTCCTCTGTAAAATGGATGGATTGGGTTAAATGACCTTCAAAGTCTTTTCTGGTTTCAAATCTATGCTTCTATGATTCCCATTCCTCCACTGACTTATCACATGGCCTTCATTTATTACAAAAATGCTAGTAAGTGGTAAGTGACAAACTCTCTGTACCTCAATTTCCTAATCTGGGATAAAATTAAAGATTATCATACTTAACTAAAACTTTGTTTACATAGCACATTAAGACTTGCAAAGTGCTTTACAAACATGATTTTATTTTATCCTTACAACAACCCTGGGAGGTAGGCGCTGTTATTATTCCCATTTTATTGATGAAGAAACTGAGGCAAACAGCAGCTAAATTACTTGCCAAGGACCACACAGCTATCAGTGTCCCATGGTGGATTTGAACCCAGGTTCAGGCCCAGCACTCTATCCATCACACAACCCAGCTGCCTTGTCTTATCTGCTTCACATAATGGTTTCAGGATAATACTAAGTGACATTGATATGACTTCAAAGTTTGCATAGCACTTCACATACATTATCTCAATTAAGCCTCTCAATAACTCTGCAGGCAAACATGACACCTGATGATTACACCTGCCTCCTCTAATGAGGAGACAGAGGTTTAGTGACTTGTCCATGTCTCACAGCTAAATGTCAGTCAGGATTTGAATCTGTGTCTTCCTGACTCAAAGAACAGCAGGTTTCTTTTTATTACTTCAAGGATCTGTAACTTCACAAGAAAGAGCACCCTCTTCATCATAAGTCACAACCCCGCCACACCTCAGTATAATTTCATGAGTCACTGTGACTGATGGAATTGACCATCTGGTGTCTAATGTCCTGGTGATGAGCCAATCTCTCCCTATTTCTCTAGGCTGACCCTCAGAATGAAGGTGTACATACAGTTGCTAGTGAGCCTAATAAATGTTTATTGACTGACATAATCCCTAATTAAGATGGGCATACCTTCCAGGATAGGGAGGTGACAGTTCTCTTCGGCAATGTTGTCTTCAGTCTTGGGAGCCATGGTTTAAGAAGACATTGATATACTTAGAGAATGTCCAGAGGAAGGCAACCAAACTGGTGAAGGACCTTGAGTCTATGACATGAGATTGAAGTAACTGATCATGTTTGACTTGAAGAAAAGACTCGGGGGGATTTGATAGTGTTTGAAGAGGTCTCATATGGCACTTGGATTAGACTTGTCCTGCTTGACCCTAAAGGGCAAAACAAGGGAAAATGGGTAGAAACTACAAAGAGATAAACTGAGGTTGGATGTCAACTACCAATTAGAGCTATGCCAAAATAAAATGGGCTCCTGGAGTGACTGCCTTCCCCCTCTCTGGAAGACTTCAAGCAGAACCTATACAACAACTTGTCCTGGAATCATAGAGGGGATTCCCTTCTAACTCTCAGATTCAGGGGTTCTGTTTAATGTCACCTTGAGAAGTTTTTATTTTATCCTGGAAGTGATCAGGAACCACTGAAGATTCTTGAAGAGGGGATTGATATGGTCATATCTATGTCATAGAAATGTCATGAGGAAGACTCAGGAGAAGATTTTTAATGCCAGATCAATAATAACAGCTCATATTCCTATATCACTTTCATTACAATAACTCTGAAAGTTATGAAGTATTCTCCCTATTTTATAGATAAGGTAGCTTGGGCTCAGAGAAGGTTAAAACAATACATCTAATGTCATTTATTCATTAATTTAATGACCATTTATTAAGCACCTTTAATGTATAAAGCCTTGGGCTAGGCTCTAAGATTCTAAGGTACAAACAAGCCAGTCCCTGACTTCAAGGAATCTATATTCTCCTGGTGTTGGGAAGAGAAGCAGACAAGGCAATGCAGTTTATAAGTGACACAGATGGGACTTGAGTCCAGTTCTATTGATTCTAAGCCCGGTGTTATTTCTGCTACACACGTAGCATCCATTGAAAAATACACAGGACCACACAGATGTACAGTACTGAATCAGATTCTCTAAGAATAGTTTTTTCAGACAGGTGTCATTCCTGTTCCTCTTCCCATCTGAAGTAATGAAGGATGGTGTTACTGTCAGCGGCAGATTATTTATTGATTTTGTGTTTGTTTATGTAGCATCTTTCATCCATGGAAATTGGATAGATGACTTTTAAAGCCAGAAAATGGAAATGTATATAATGATACCTCGACATTTGCATAGGGATTCATGATCACAGAGCCACTTACACATAATACCTCATTTGTTCTTCCTAACATTCTGTGAGGCAGAGTATATATCATTACCCTCTCCCAAAAATGACAGGTGGGAAACTGAGGCTCCAAGAGACTTCCCTGAGGTCACATACCTAATGAAACCAGGACTTGAATTCAGGACTTCTCACTCTATAGGATCTCTCAATTCTACTATGAGAGTACACCAAGCACAGTGCGTGGCACACAGCAGTTGCTTAAAAGATAGTTTTTCAATCGAGTTGAAGTAAAGAAGTTGAGGTCCTTCTCTTTCCCATCATTAAACCTCTTGTCCTCAAGAGTCAGGGCTTTTGAAGTTCCATCTTGGAGTTAAATTAAGTAGGATTCCTTCTGTGCGCTCTCTTCTTTTCCCAAGGTGCTTAGCACAAGGGCCAAGCTCAATAAATTTAATATCTTTGATTCCTATGACCATTCTACTTTCTTTCTTCCCACTTAGACTCTAGTTGTTTTCAACCTTAGGCTCCTCAAATATATGGGTAGCACATACACCAAATAGAGCACAGGACTGGCAATGAGCAAGACAATCAGCATTTATTAAGAGCCGGCTATATGCCAGACATTGTGCTAAGGTCTGGGGATACAAAGAAGATAAAAGATAGTCCCTGCCCCATGGTTTGCCCTGGGTGAGCTCAAGGAGCCTGATCTTTCACCAGGGGAAACAGTCTCCCTCTTCTCACAGCTATTGCATCATGCCCCAACCCTTGCTACTTCAAGGACAATTCTGTTTTTGGATCTGGACTAAGATCCAAAGGTGAAAGTTGAGAAAGAAAAGGAAAGAAGGAAGGAAGGAAAGAAAGAAGGGAGGAATGGAAGGAAGAAAGGGAAGAGGGAAGGAAGGAGGGAGCAAGAAAAAGCAAGAGAATGAAGGAAAGAAAGAAAGAAAGAAAGAAAGAAAGAAAGAAAGAAAGAAAGAAAGAAAGAAAGAAGAAAAAAAAAGAAAGAAAGAAAGAAAGAAAAAGAAAGAAAAGAAAGAAGGGAGGAATGGAAGGAAGAAAGGGAAGAGGGAAGGAAGGGAAGAAAGGGAAGAGGGAAGGAAGAAAGGGAAGAGGGAAGGAAGGAGGGAGCAAGAAAAGGCAAGAGAATGAAGGAAGGAAGAAAGAAAGAAAGAAAGAAAGAAAGAAAGAAAGAAGAAAGAAGAAAGAAAGAAAGAAAGAAAGAAAGAAAGAAAAAGAGAAAGAAAGAAGAAGGAAGGAAGGAAGGAAGGAAGGAAGGAAGGAAGGAAGGAAGGAAGGAAGGAAGACATTCAGAGTACCAACATTAATTAAATATGGAATGGATAGTTTTGTTCCTACATAGAAAAGGCAATGCTATGCAATAAAGAATTACAGAATCATTAGTGCAGAATATAGTAACTCATCACTACTAGTACAATTAATTCAGAGGCTTATTCAAGGCTCTTTGGGGCATTTGCAATTGCTTCTTTGTGAGGGCTGCTGATTCACCATTTTGCATCTTGCCTCCACTGAGCACAGTTTCACCCACACCAAATGGAATCCTTCTTTCCATTTTTTTCTCTCTGTTGGAAGCTCTTTCCATTTTGTCCTGTCTGCTTCTGTTACTGTCACCACCACAACTTTTCTGGTGGCTGCTACCCGCCAGTCAGGTGCTCAGAAAGGGGAAGACACCAAGGAAAAATTGCCTTTTAAAATCTCACCAGGTCTTGTACCAGATGAAAGAAGATACAAAGAGGAAAGTGGGCTCTATCATAGGCACAAGACAGCCTACGAGGTCATGAGCTCTTGGCTTGTCACTGCATAGTGGCCCAACTCTCCTGATAGCTCGAAGAGTAGTCCTTGCCCTTCAAATCTGGTAAGAAAAGGAGTCCTGAGGAGTCGGGATCACTCCTGGAATATCCAGGGAGTTCTAGTTCAACTATTTTTGGTC